TTCCTTCCTTCCTTCCTTCCTTCCTTCCTTCCTTCCTTCCTTCCTTCCTTCCTTCCTTCCTTCCTTCCTTCTCCTCTCCTTTCTTTTTGCTTTGCTTTTGGTCTTCTGGAGGGGCCTGGGGGTTCTGGGTGTGCACGGGACCCTGGCCATTTCCTGCTGCCATTAATGAGGGAGGGAAGAGGAGGCCTGTTTGGGGCTGTCCTCAGGGTTTGGGGTGCGGTATAAGATGCTTGCCTTAGGCAGCAGAACATGGGGTGATGGGTTGGAATCTACTTTTAGGACTTTCCTCTTCTCTGGCTTTGCAATGCCTCTCGCCCCACCCCCATAGATCATATCTGTTTGATTGCAGGTTTTAGGACTTGAACGTCCACGCATCGAAAGTCTGATTGCAGGAATGGTTTCTCAAGTCTGAATTATGAATTCAGGAGCACACATCTTTGCTTCTCCAACTCCCACCAGCCTCTGTCCCCAAGAGGGTCTTCAGCCACCTGGAGGCCTTGTGGATGTGAAGCAGCGAGCAAAGCCCCCTTTCAGTGCCCAACTGAAGCAGGCGCAACGTGGAATGAAAGGGACGGCAGAGCACGGCAGCGAAAGGCGTCACCGCTTGAGCGGCACGTGTGGAAATCCAGCTGTGGGAGCACCACAACCCCAACCTGCATTCGCCCAACACACTCAGCCAAAACGAGGCTTGCTTGTTTGGGATTTGGGCAGAACCCGGCAAGTGGTGATTTATAAACCATGGTGAATAGTTTACTGTATTCATGACTCTCCCATCCAACTGTGGTTTATTCTGGAAGCTGTAGTTCAGCTATGTAGGGATTAGTATGGATCTGAATCCAGCTGGCTGGGGAAGCACAGCTTAAGGTAATCAAGAAACAAATAAATGTGTAAATAGCTCATTAGGAGCAGAAAGAGGAAAGAGAAACTTTTTCACAACTGTAACTCTCTGATGGGAGAAACTACACGACACCCATTTCTTTGGCTCACTTCTAATGGCACATAAGAATTTCACGTTCAGCTTACATAAGTGCGCGTCCCCTATTTCTGTCTTTACTCTTTTGATTATCATTTCCCCTGCTCTGCTTTTGAAATGGTTTGCTCCAAGCATCTTGTATGTTATATTCCGCTATTATATACATGATTCCCATTGAGTAAATAATTCCTGTTGTCCTTGGCATTAAAAGACAGGTGAGAAAGCAAGGACAAACATTTGCTAGATGTGGCTTTTTTTATGTACAGCCGGGAAGAGAGAACCGAAACCGAAAGGTCCTTTTTCTTCTCGAAGCCACACCGTCTTAGGGTGATCAGAGGTGGATGAAGTACGGTGCCCTTCCCAAAGCCGCTCAGTGACTCCAGCTTTCCAGCTGCTGCTTGGCACAGATCACGTGCCAGGCTGCCCCCCCTTCCCCCGGCTTCTTGCCAGGCTGGCGTCGGAGGAGGGAGAATGTTTGGGCTGGAATGGAAAGGGCTTTTTTAAAATGGGTGCTTGGCTGTCTGTCCCCCTAAATAGCTTGGCCAATTAGTAATGTCTCATTTACTAATCAAGGAATTAGCAATAAATGGATTTTATTTAATCTCGAGAGAGAGAGGAACTCCCTTCCCTCCTATCCATCATTAAGAGGTACTGAATGTGGCAGAAATTCAGTTTGTGAAGCTCTGCTCGTCAGCGGCTTGATTTACACAGTGAACTAAGCCATAACACAGTATCTTAGTTTAGAGCAGTGCTTCTCAACTTTGGCCACTTGAAGATGTGTGGACTTCAACTCCCAGAATTCCCCAGCCAGCCT